CTTCCCTACTTCTCCCCACTCTGCATCAATGGCGCGATCAACTGCCCACTTGCTCAGTCTACAAATCTTGGAATGAGGATTATTGTTAAGGAAAGATTAGCTTCATTTAAAATGTTCTTGAAATTTGTTATTCTGAAATCATTTCAGACTTATAGAAAAATTGCAAACATAGTACAGAGCTCCCATATATCCTTCACCCAGCTTTGGCCAAAGTCAATTTTTTACATAACCATAGTACCTTGATTTGTCAGGAAATTAACATCGGTATAATACTAACCCATAATACTATAGACCTTACTCGAGTTTCGCCACTTCCCTGTGAATATTCTTTTTCTGGTTCAGAATCGAATACAGACCCCACGTTGCATTTAGTTTTCTTAATTTCTTCTAGGAGTTATTTTTAACTTCCCTCTCTTCTCTCACTCCTGTGGCAACCGAATACGTGAGCTCCACTCTCGCCATGTATCCCGAACCCACCGCGTCTTTCCATCCCACTGGGTACCGTCTCGGTCCAAGCCACCATCTCTTCCCTGGAAATTGTCACCCCCTAACCATCTCCCTGTTTCTGCTTGAGCCCCTTCACTGCATTTATTTATTTTTTTGTCCACAGTCATTGACATGATCTTTTAAAAATATAAATGACGTTGCGTCCTTCTCCTGATCAAAACATTTTAGTTACTTCCTATTTCATTTCAAAGAAAATCTGCCCGCTCTCCCATGGAATGCTCGACTCAGGCACGGGTCAGCAATGGCTGCTACAATCATGAGGTAAGAGATGGTGGGTAACGGAATATCTGCGCGGTGGCAAAGCCTCACTGCTCAGATTACCAAGAGGCAAATGGATCTTTAGGAGGAGAGATCAGGCAGTTAGATCCTCGACCAGGTGACCAAACTCAGCATCGTAATAGCGAGACTGCCTGACATTACACACCTCCAGATTCGATGCACTACGATTTCTGAAGTGTCACCAGGAAAATGTTCTTGCAAAAAAAATGCTTCACTTCAGTCTATTTAAACCTGCAGGTTTAATGTCCATTTTACAGGCAAAACGGATCATTGAACAAACTGAACAACAGGAAGAAACAGTCGCACACATCCAGAATGTGGGACATTCTACTGGAAGCTGGTTTGAACTCTGGGAAAAAAACAACATAATGGAGGAAAGAAAAGTGTGTGTGTGTGTGTGTGTGTGTGTGTGTGTGTGTGTGTGTATTCTATATGAAACCAGACTAAGGAGACATGACACCCAAATGCAATGTGTGAACCTTGATTGGCTCCTGGTTTAGATTAAAATATTCTTGGGTCGGTCGGGAAAACCTGAATAAACAGGAACTGTATAAACTTTTGTAGGGGTGAAAATAATTTTGTGGTTATGTAAAAGAATGGCCTTATTCTTAGAAAATATATGCTGAAGTATTTAGAGGTTAAGCGCCTCAGCAATTTCTTTTCAAATGGTACAGGAAAAAATACATCATTAAGGCAGGTTTAGCTCTGTTTATATTCTTTAAACTTTTTATTTTGAAATAATTTTAGAATTACGGAAAAGCTTCAGAAAATAGTGCAGAGAGTTTGCACACACATAAAGCAAACATGTCAAAATATTTCTTAAAGTATGTGTTCTTACATGAATGTTTCTTGAAACACAATTGGCCATTTAAATTTTGAAATAATTTCTGTAATTATTATTAAACGGCGATTGAATCTATCCGAAAAAACTTAAAATGCAATATTTAACTCTTCACAGGTCTTCAGGGCCCTGAACAACATGGCTGCCAGCTCTCCGATGTCACCAGCAGCATAGTGGGATTCCTGCCAATTGTCCTAAATCAGGGCCTTTGCACTTGCCATTAACCCCACCCAAATGTCCCTTCCAGGGCCTTTGTTCAGATGTCAGGTCTTCCGAAGAGCCTTCCATTAACATTCTTTCTAAAATAGCCTCCCTCTCACTGCTCATTCACCTGCTCTGCCCTGTTTTTTTTTTTTAATCGTGCAGGCCACTATTTGAAATTGTTTATTCTTTTAAATGCCTTTGTCTCAAGTACGATGTAAGCTCCCAGAGCAAAAGACTTTGCTTTAGTCGCGTGTTATGGTCCCAGAGTCCAAACAGTGCCTAGCATACATCAGGCGATCCGTGAACAGTTATTGATTTAATGGTTAGACACCTAAGCAATCACGCTATTAACATAGGGACTTTTTGCCAGGCGGCGGAGGGGCACACAGAATACACACCGCCTCACGCATGCGCGCAAATCCGGGAAGTGTTAGGAAAAGGGGCGGAGCATTGAGAAAAGTCGCGCGGACAGAGGCGGTTGGAGTCCAGTGCGCGAGATGGAAGGGGACCGCTGGCTGCGAAGCGCGCGTGCGCACTGCGTGCTCTAGCCTGCCGCGGCAAAGGAGTTTAAGGGGCCCAAAGGCGGGGCAGTGCCCGCGCGCGTGCGCAGTGCCTGCAGCAGCGCCGAATCCCAATGTGTGCCTGGTGCTGGCATCGCGCGGCGCGTGCGCGGTACGGACGGCGGAGGGATTCGAGGCCGGTTCACCTTTTGCCCCTGTCGGGAGCCGAGGCCGCGCGGGCTCCTGAGAAGCGGCCTGGTGCGCGCGCTGGGCGGGCGACGGACGCAGACGGGCGCGGACGCCGCTGAAGTCAAAGCCAGAGCAGGAGTCCCTGCTGCTGAGGGGCCGCCGCAGCCGCCGCGAGCCCCCGGACCGTCGCCAGGTCGAGGAGGGCGCCGCGCGGCCGGTGAGTGTGACTGAGGGGCCTCCCCGGGTGCGGGGCTGCTACCCACAAGCCCTTGCGGTGGGCCCCGGTCTCTTCCCCGCGGCCGGGCCCACTTCCCACGCCACCGCCACGGCACCTTTGTGCACCCCTTACCCAGAGTCCCCTGGGCACTTAGGCCCTCTTCCCACGGCGCCCCCGCGTTCCTTTACCCACAGGCCCTTGCGGTGTGTTGCCTCTTTTTCTTCCCGTCTCCGCGGCGTCCCGGACCCTTACCCAGAATTCCTTTCGCGGTCCAGTTCTAGTACCTGCAAGCGCCTGGCTGGACGGCTTTGCTAATTATGACTCTCTCCTACTGATCGAGACCCGCTACCCTCATCCAGTTCTCCAAGTGCCGGACCACCAGCCGCCGCGCTGGACCGCCCTCATCAGGGCGCTCGATTTCCTCGGCAGCCCCCAGGGAACTTCTCAGGCCCCCCCAGTTCATTGCTCAGGACTCCGAGGCTCTGCTTAGAAATCCTTGTTCCGTCATTGTTTCCTTGACGGGCCTTGCCCCACCCACACACAATAACCCTCTCCCGAGAACGTGCTTTCTCAGTCTGGTCTTACTACTTTCCCCTGTGACATAGGATCGTTTTGTGTCCTTACCAAGACCTTGTCCCTATTTCTCTTTTTTTCTTGGGAGTAAGGGATCATACGGGTTTCACTTCTACCGCCCACCCCAACTTAAGGCTGGCTTGCTTCTGCTCTCAGACTTGGCAAGATGACTCAGTTCCTGCCGCCCAACCTTCTGGCCCTCTTTGCTCCCCGTGACCCCATCCCGTACCTGCCACCCTTGGAGAAACTGCCCCATGAGAAACACCACAATCAACCTTACTGTGGCATTGCGCCCTACATCCGAGAATTTGAGGTGAGCTTGCTGAGCAAATTTAGAGGGGTTTGGGTTCCGGGTGTCTGGGAGTGTTTCTGGATTTGGGAGTCCAGTCTCTGACCATTTTCTCGCTGTATGATTTAGGCAGGGCAGGTGGTTGATTGTTTATGATCCTCAGTTTCTCTCTCTTCAATGAGGTTGACGATATATCCCTTATGGGACTGTATAAATTCAATTTGTAGCAGTCGAAGATTCACGCACAAGTCTGGTGGTACACACACCATATATCAGTTGCGTGACCTTGGACAAATGGTACGTCCTCTTAGTGCATTGATTTCTTCATCTTTAGCAAGGGAAATTATTATTTTATCATATTTAAAAATGTACGTTTTGGGGTTTGGTGGTCAGCAACTATCAGTGTTATTGTATTTACATTAGCCCTGTGCAAAAGGGTGCTTAAAACCACGAGCTTGAGAATCTCAGCTCTGCACCGTCTGGGTAAACGCGGATACACGACTCAGGCTCCTGGGCCGCAGTGTTTTCATTCCTAAAATTGGGATAACAACGTCCACCTCTTACGGTGTTTCAAAGCACACCTGAGAAATGGCTGGTATATGGCCAGAAGTCGAAAAAGGAAAGTTCTGGCATCCTAGGGGAATGGCATCTGGAGATGGAGAAAGTCGCAGAGCAGAAGTTGGGTAACAGAAGATGGACCCTTTGCTAGGATCTGCCGCCTTCAGTGAACTGTAGTTGAGAAATGTTACTAGCCAATTAAAATAATGCAATGGCTGCAGGCCAGGGGCACCTTTAGTGGTGCGGGTCATGTGTCAGTTACTCTTCGATGAGTGCTCGCCGCGACCAGCGACTGCCCTGGCCCTCACAGGGTGTCCAGGTGTCTGCTCCTGAGCACTGCACTTTCAACTCCTTTTGCGTCAGGCCTAGTTCTGATTCCGATCCGGGATAAGAGACAAGTCCATCGTAGATTGAAGCTTTTAGTAAACACGAAAGAATTACTTTTATTTTTCTGGCATTTTTAAAGAAAGACTGGATGATAGAAAACATGTTTTTATTAAGTTTTATGAGTATAAAGACTCCTTTGTCACATTGCTGTAGAAGCTTCTGGATACTGCTTACTCCTGATCTCTGTACTTCTCTTGTCGCAGTTTGCTGACGGCATTGGTCCATGGACCGTGCTTTGATCTTCACCACTCCTGTGCCTCCACTGGCCTGGGAAGTGTCCTTGTTATTTGCTTGCTTGCGTTTGTGCGTGGCGGGAGTGAATGGCTGAGATGCTCATTATGTCTTGGATGGGCGTCGTTTGCCATTTCCCCTAGTCCTTCCCACCCTGTCACCTCTCTTCTTGTTCCCAGGATCCTCGAGATGCCCCTCCTCCAACACGAGCAGAAACTCGGGAGGAACGCATGGAGAGAAAGGTATGTAATTTTTGCCTCCTGGGCCTGTCTTTTTTTTGCCACTTTCTTTAGAATGTTCTTTGATGTCAGGGCATCTAGATCTGCATTCACTTGTCTGTCTTTCTCCTGACAGAGACGGGAAAAGATTGAGCGGCGACAGCAGGAAGTGGAGACAGAGCTAAAAATGTGTAAGTCTCTTTTTCCTTCTTTCGTATCTTCTTTTTTAAACTCTCGTGTTTCTCTCCCCCAGGTCAACCCCGGGACCCTGTTTTGGGAAAATGGGTGGTTCACGTTTTGGCCCCCACTGTTTGCCAAACACAATGTTCGCTTTAGGCAGTTCAGCGGGCGAGTGTGGAGTAAGAGTTGGCAGGAAGGGAGAGCCCTGGTACCTCGGGCTGCATACTGCAGGGGGCGGTCTTGCAGGGGCTGCCACTGCCCAGCTGGGTATCACAAGCTAAAGCAGTGAAGTCCCGGCAAGTAAGGCAGTCCCGGCTACCCCTGAACACCCCGATGCTTGGGTTGGAGATGTTTCATCTCTTCCAGGTACAGGGGGAATTGGTACATAGTAGCCATGCACTGGATTTCACCACCTCACACGGCCCTTTGTTGTTAGAGCAAGGGCCTCCCAGTTAGAAAACGGGGGGTTTCCTCCTACAGCCCTGAGGCCATGGTGAATCACTTCACTCTGAACCTTATTCCCTGGAATGGCACATTTTCTTGGGGTGCTAATGTAAACCTCTGACATCTAAATACCTGAGCATGTAGCTGAGAGCTCTCTGAGACCTGCTCTCACTGAAGCTGCCTTCCTCCGAGGCCTCAAAGGCATTTCAGAATCAGTGTCCACAGCACAAGCAGGATTTCCTCTCCCATTAACCTGGTCTTTGGATTTCTTCCCTGGGACATGGCCTTCCGGCTTTGCAAGACCTGTTTTTGCCACCCAGTTTGTTTTTAACACCTTTTCCCCCTTTTCCCAGGTTGTCACCAAGACCCATGTCTATTACTCTTTAAATGTCACAGACTGACTTTTTTTCTGTGTCCACCACCACTCAGGTCTCTCGTTTGGATGCGCAGTGACAATCTAACTGCTTTGCTTCTATCTTTGTCCCCGCCAAGTCCTGTGGGTCTTTTTTAAGTGCAACTCTGAATGTCCCTTTCTCTGCTAACAGCTTCCTTTTGCTTAGCTCAAAGACCATAGTTCCCTGCCCACTGTTCCAGACCTGTCATACATCATGCTCCCCGCCTCTCCTGCTTTAGCCACACCGGCCTCTTCTCATGCCTCATCCTTGCCACATGGTCTCCGGTCATTGGGTCTTTGCCCAGGCTGTTCCCGCCTGGGGTGTCAGGGATACCTTGGTTTATGTGTAACAGCCCTTATCTCAGTTCAGCTGTCACTCCTAAAGAAGCCTTTTCTGACTGCCTTGCTCAGGTCGAGTCCCCTTATACTCTGAAAGCCCCGAGGTTTGCAAGTTGGCCCCTGCAGTCTGCAGGGGGATTCACTGATAAGTAACCTGTCTGCACCATTGGTTCACAAGTACTTCAAGAGGGCAGAGTTTGGATGGGATTTGCTCACCATTGTTGACCCAGCTCCTGCACGACGTGGCACACAGAATTGTTGGCAGCAGTTGCCTTGGGGAGTCTTTCAGGTCAGCTCTTAGGGCCTAGGCCTCGTATTCTGAGCCACGTGAGCTTGAATCCTGCCTCTGCCACTTAGAGCTGCATGACCTTGGGTAAGTCACTTCTCCCCTTGGACGTTGTTTTCCATACTTTAAGAACGGGATCCTGGCATGGTAAAGGACACGATGAGGATGCAGTCAGCCACGTTCGGAATGGGGGAAATTGTATAGGACAAACTTGCGACTCAGTTTTTTTAACAAATGACAAAAAAGGGACAAGGAATGGGCCACATGGATTCAAGAGTCAAAAGACCTATCAACCAAATGATAAGTGCGGAGCTTGTTTGGATCCTGATTTAACTATAACAATCCAGTTTTGAAACAGTTGACGTCTCGACACTGAGTCTTGGGTCAAGGAATTAACGTTAACTTTTTAAGGTGTCGTGACAGTACTGTGTTATGTTTTTTTAACAAGTCTGTGTTAGAGATGAAAGTGGTGTATCTGGGGTTTGGTTTAAAACACTCTGGCAGAGTGGCGGGTAGAGCGGAAACCAGCATGGCCACGTGTTGATAACCGAAGCTGGTTCGTAGGAGTTCATTATACTGTTCTTCACTTCAAGTGTTTGATTTCTGTAATAGAAAAGAAACGAAGAATGGGTCCAGTACAGTAGGGTTCTTCTGCCCCTGAGAGCCTCCATCCCCAACTGCAGAAGCTTACTGTGCCTCGTCACAATTAAGAGCTACCATTCGAAGGGCCTGGACCCTTGCTAAGCACTTGATGAAGGAAGCAGAGACTTACTGAGGCCGAGTATGCTTGCCAAGAGTGAGGGGTTCTGAGCTACTTTTTCTGCCATCTAAGAGCTTGATGAGGTTTTCCAACTCCTCAGTCCAGTCCTTTGAGCCCCTGCTCAAAGAGAATTCCTACAGCCAAGGATTTCCCAAGGGGAGCGTTGCCAGCAGAATGGAGTGCAGTGGTGTGTGGGTGGTCACGTGTGCATGCCGACTGGCGCACTGACCCCCAACTTCTTTGACACCTTTTATCTGATGTGTTCACTAACGTAGGTACCGTTAGCTCGCCTGTACTAGCTTTTACCTTTAGTCAGATTCCTGGACCCCTTGGGTAGGCTGGAGCTGCAGGGACTCACCGTGCGCCTGTGGCCCTTTTGGCTGCTGGGCACCGTTAGGCCATCTGTCAAGAAGCTCAGCTCTCGGCTGTTTGGCCTTCATCTGCCTCCCCAGGCAGTGATGGGTGGTCTCACTCTCCTGTTCCTGCCGCACCTGTTAGGCCACCTATTGCCTGGTGTTGGCAAGTTGTATTCTCTTTGCCGCTGTCACAAATCGGGTCTTTGGTCAGATGTTACCATCTCAGGCCTTTCCCCACCGTCCTGTCGAAACTCCTTTCTCTGTCTCTGACATCACTTGATAGAAGTAGATGGTTTCCTTGTCCTCCGTTTGCTGTCAGCCCCCTCCGTCAGCGTACGAGCTCCAGGAGGTTCGGGGTCTTTCTCATCTCGTTCGCTGTTGAATCCCCAACATGTAGGACAGTTCCAGGCACATACAGGTGCTTAACAAATACCTGCTGGATGGATAG